TTGTTGCTCGAGTGGTTTCAGACAAACCTGTTCGTACTGTCTCTTTTACCAAACTATGGCTATGGTTTGGCGACCAGTCAATGGAGTTTCAATTGATGAAATTGGGGATTCTAAATTCCTATTACAGTTCAATCACGAAGGAGATCTGAATAGAGTTGTTGATGAGGGGCCTTGGTCATTTGAGCAGAATCTTGTGGTAATTAAAACATTGGGGCGTACTGACAAACCTATGGAGGTTCCATTGGATCATGCAGACTTCCGGGTCCAGGTCCACAACCTACCGTTAAGCTACATGACGATCAGAGCAGCTCATGGAATAGCTAACAGTATTGAAGCGTTTGTGCAGGTGGATGAGAAATAGATACTTCATACGAATACTTGACTACATACTTCATAAATGTTAGCGGTAGACTCGCAGGCTTTGTAGAATACGATTTTCTCACGCAAAACAGAGTACACGAATGATTTTCTCACGCAAAACAGAGAATTATATGTGAACCTTTTGACCAAAAAAAAATCATCTTGGAAGCTTTTACCATGCTGTCTTCCAGAGGAAAGCAACCACCAGAAGACGTAGACGCAGATCGGCTTCTTGGAATTGCAGCAAGAACGAATTAGAAGATGATGGCACAATTGGGAATGGAGTAATTATTTGCCAACGCCAAACTTAAACGCTGCTATTTATGGCGTTTCTGTTTTTTGGCGGATTCATCATAAACGCTAAACAAAACCGCTCCCTTACCAAACATCAGCGATCAGCGTTTTCAACGGTTGAAACCTCCAAAATCGGTCAAACCCTTTAAGTTTTGGTAGAAACGCCAATTACCAAACGCAGGCACAGATTAGGCCACGACTAATCCAACTTTCAAAAACTTTGATTACAGTACTAGACTACTACGTATAAAATTAATCTAGAAATATCTGTGTGCAAGCCTAGTTCATTATATCCCGCGGAGAACCACGATATCGTATCCTCTATATCGTATTAGTTGCAACATTGTAAATTACACAATATTCATGTACTCTACTTTGACTATATTTTATTAATTAATGTATGTGAATTATTATTATTTTTTTGAAAAATATTATTGAATTTGCCGCATCAAAAATTTTCATAATCTGATTTTTAATTATTTTTTACTAATACATACTCCGTAATTAAATATAATGATGGTCAAAGTTGTGCATTGACAAACGTGAAAAATGAATGTTGCAACTAAAAAAGAAAGGAGGAAGTATATATTACGGAGTAAATGTTACTCCCTCTGTCCCGAAATTATCTTCATACTTTCCTTTTCAGTCTGTCCCAAATTTATCTCATTTTTCCCTTTTTAGCAAAGAATTTGTGGTTCGCAACCATTCTTACATATTCTTACACATTTCTTTTTCCTCTGTACAATTCTCCAGCACACATTTCCCACTATCTTATTCTGTGTGTCATTTGTATTTTAGGAGATAAATATGGGACAGAGGGAGTACTACGTATTTGTGTATATGTTTTAATTGGATCCACACATGCATTTAATTTATCACCAAAGAAACAACTCGTTCAATTCATTTCAAGCCAAAATTGGCACTTACCATTAAGTTACCAAGCTTAGTTACTCAACTAAAATCACGTCCAAACACACACCACACCCACTTATTTTTTGTTACGCGATACACTAGTTTAGCAGTGAGCATAACATCTTAGAATGAGTTTTGATTTGTTTATTATGATTTGTTCATTAATTAGTTTGTCTTGGTTAGAAGAAGTTGCTTGATAACTTTAAACTCATGGATTCTTACAAGTCCCATAAAATTCTTCTCATTTACTTGTTTGAGATGTTTTAAATTATTCTTCTCATTTCTTTTTTTGCAAAGTTTTGAGTAGTTAACGTTCATTTATTATTTTTTTCTTATTGAACCACAATCATACACTCTACTTTATTCTCATTTTTAAAGAGTTAATTATCAAAATAGGACTAAAAGTCATTCACTTTTCACAAATAGGACCAAAAAATAAACTATGTTTGCATAAGACTAATTATGTGTACCTTGGACAATTATACCCTTATAGCTATTAAAATGTTTCAATTCCTAATAAAATAATAAAAAATAATAAAAAATCGTAAAAAATACTAAAAAATTAAGAAAAACATTTCGATATTAAAAATTTAATTAATTTTTTTTTCAAAAAATTAAAAAAATTAAAAAAAAATTAAAAAAAATACAAACTCAAAAAAAAAAAATTGCCGCCGCCTCTGCTGCCTCAGCACCACCACCTCCAGTCACCAGGGGAAAAAAATGCCAAGTTCATTACGAATGCCATATTTATGGCAGAAAAAAATGAAAATGTTGACATTCGAAAAGAGAAATATGCCACTTTTTTGGCATTTTCAGAAAAAAATGGCATTTTTCTGGGAAAATGGCATTTTTTTCATCGGGCGGAGGTGGTATTGGTGGGAGGTAGTACAGGCGGTGGGAAAGCCATCCATATTTTTTAAAAATTTTTTTACGGAGTTTTACTATTTTTTATTAATTTTTTTAAAAATAAAATTATTTAAAAAAAAAAGGATTTTGAATTTTTGATTTTATAAAAATTTTATAAATTTTGTAATTATATTTCTACGAATTTTTGAATTTTTTCGAATTTATTATGAATTAAACATTTAATTATGGCTTTTGACTATTTTTAATTCATCTTTAATGGAAGGGTAAGAATGGAATGCAAAAATATGTATGTTTCCAATAGGACTCATATGGTCCTATTTTGGAATAAAAACATACCAAGTCCTATTTTAGGTTTTTGCCATAGATTTAGTCCTATTTGAACTAATTTCTATTTTTTAAATCTCCGATCAAAGTCAAATCAAGATTAATTTTATGGGACGGTGAGAATATTAGTTAGCATCTTTACGAATAGTTTCTGAAACAATTTCTTCTCACTTTTCTTATTCTTGAGTCTATTTGATAATATATACACTTTTATGTCACTCGTATTTCTATGCAAGTTTATGTCACTTTTGAATATAAAGAAGAATATGGTGGAGTCAAAGGAGGCATTCGCCCTGCTAGGCTGCTACACTAGCAGAAATTTTTGGCTGAACAACCAAAATCCAAAAACACCCATAATCAAAACTTTAAATTCCAAAAATATTGATAATGTTTCCATCTATCTATAATCACGTTTTGCACAGACATAATTGTACATTTATTTGTAAGATAAAACTGATTTCAATTATCTTCAATTCATTTATTTTGGTTTTTCCACTAACATAATTTTACTGAACTATAAATTGTGTAATTAATACTACGTACGTATCACGTACTATAAAAGTGAACTTAAGCTTATGTTATGATGAGGTGATGCATGACACTAACAACTAATTTCGTCAAAGATTGTGTGTTGGAAGCAACTTTTGACTGCTGTAATGTTTAAATTAAATATTTACAACGGTTGCTCTCAACCGCACGACACCGTACCATTCTATATTTTTATGTTCGAATCAAACCTTCTTAATCAATTGTTCTAGATCCTAAAAAGGTGATAGATATGAGAGGTAGCTAGGTGAGTCTCCAAGATTTTCCAATCCTCCTAATGCTGTTAGAGGATCTTCAGTGCTACAATGTTCACGATGCACATGTGACATGAGAGAGATAGACACAAAATATTGATTTTATGACATTTCTCTCTCATTCTTTCCACGGTCTTATGTATTTTTGGTAAGTTTTTGTCTGCAATATCAACCACAATGTCTACATCTAGACATTGTGTTTGACATTGTAAAGAAAAACTTACCAAAATGATGTAAGATCCTTCAAATAAGAAGAGAGATATTCTATTTATTGCTTTTAATCGGTTATTTCTCGTGCCACATATGCACAATTAACGTTTTAGCATAGGAGATGCTCCAAATCACACAAATAATAAATTAATGTGCAACTCTTCCCTCGCTCGATCTACCCGTACGTATATTATTCCTAGCTACCAGCTTAATTAGCCCACCATGAAGATGAAGCTTCTATATATGTGCATGCATGCCTCAGAGATTTTGTTTAATTAGTCTTATTTTATTCACCTAGCTCTCATATGAGACCAACTTGGTTTTTGAAAATTTAACATTCCGATCAGGTGAAGAGAACACATTGTTACTCCATTCTTTAAAATTGTAAAACATACATATATTTAGTAGCTAGATTGCATTGGCATAAACATGTACGTAGCCCGGCCTTAAAATGAATAAGTGCACAAATAGGAGTTCAATGTTTCCTAAAACTAAAAGTAAACTCACTTGACAAATTTACCTTTAGTGAAATCTCAAATCTATTTATAATTAAAAATAAAAAAAATAAAAATTCCGAGAACCCCAGCTTCCATGCCACTGTTGTTGAGTATAACACCGCCACCTCTCAAAGCAAATTCACTGCCTTCGTCGCCGCCGCCACTTGCGGCGCCCCTGCCATCATCACCATTTCGACACAACAACGCAATTGACGCCAATTTTGAAGGTTTGATTCATACTTTAAAATATGCTGATGCGCGTTAGAGACCAAGCCGAGTACATAAGAGCTTAGGCCTTCACACGGTCAATATATATTTTAATCATCGATCGCTCGTTCAGCTTCTTACCGCTTTATTAGTTGAGCTCCAATGCCACTAGCAAATTGTTATATTCCTCCAAAAGGTTAAATATCCAACTCCAAGAGCTTTCATGCCTTGACCCGACAAGGCATACGCGAAGATGTAAATCAGAATGATTCAATGAGTCTAATGATTATAGACCTTGTACAGTTGTGCCCGTGCCCGTCTGACATCGAATGCACCACAAAGTAAATTCTGAATCTTCCAACGTACCGTCTGATCGGGGTTCAGTGTCCTCAAGGATGGAGTGTCATTCTTTTTTTCATAGAGATGGATGGATGGAGGGGCCATATAAGCACATACGTCCAACCGACACGCAAAGATAAAAAGCCACTAATCATAGCCCCTAGAAAAAGCCCTTTCTTTCCGCCCATCTTTCCTCGTTTCTTCTCCCATTCTTCTTCTATATGTCTCTTTCCTCATCAATTTCAGAGCCAATAAAAAGCGTCAGGAATAAAGCTGAGGCTAAAACAGAGCCAGTTAGTTAACTACTTTTCTTTCCCCTGCCCCTTGCTTTCATTTCCAGAGATATGAAAGTGCCCTTTACTTCTAATGAAAACGTGAACTCCAAGGCATCCTCCACCACGCTATTGACAACTAATTCTGGGGCTACTAACAATCTCAATATCCAGCCCTCCGCCACCTCCCCTGCTTTTCCGGCCACCAACGCCGTCAGCTACGAACCCAAATCCGTTCTCGAGCTCCGCCGCAGTCCCAGCCCCATCCTCCCGGAAAACACCCGCCCGTCTCTGGATAGCGACGACCCTCTCCAGCTGGCTGACCATGTGCTGACGAACTTTGAAGACTGGGATTATTCTGGGTCGACTCAGTTTCTTGAGTTTCCACTCGCTCAACACTCTCTTGAATCGGCCGATCATAATCAGTTCCTGCAGCCGACTTCTGATCACCAACATCAATTCGCCTTCTCCGATGACACAATCACGGCGTCTGCGGCGGCGCAGTACCCTCAACCGCCGGCTCTGATGACTCAGCAGGGAGGTGGGAGCAATATTAATGGTGATTTTCAGCAGCAAAATAACTGGAACTTGACGGCGTTTGATTACGTGGATGAGCTGATCCGGTTCGCCGAGTGTTTCGAAACGAACGCCACCCAGCTGGCTCAAGTGATATTGGCGCGGCTCAATCATAAGCTCAGATCTCCGACTGGAAAGCCGCTCGAGAGAGCTGCCTTCTATTTCAAGGAATCTCTGCAGTCTCTACTCACCTGGTCGACTCGGATGACCAAACCCGCCTCCTCCTCGTCCGAGATCATCCAAACCATCGAAGCATACAATATCTTCTCAAGCATCTCTCCGATCCCCATGTTCTCCAGCTTCACGGCTAACCAAGCCATCCTCGAAGCCGTGGTCGGCTCCCCGCTGGTCCACGTCATCGATTTCGATATCGGGCTTGGCGGGCACTGGGCTTCCTTCATAAAAGAGCTAGCTGAGTCTTCCTCTCGAGCCAAGCCGCCTGCTCTCCGTATAACGGCTCTCGTTCCGGATGAATATGCGGTCGAGTCGAGGCTGATCAGAGAGAACTTGACTCACTTCGCTCGTGATCTCAACATGGCGGCTTTCGATTTCGATTTTGTGTTGATTAGCACGTTTGAGCTTCTATCCTTCAAAGCAATTAAATTTATTGACGGAGAGAAGATTGCGGTTGTTTTGTCTCCGTCCATATTCAGGAAGATCGGAACTGGATTTGTCACCGATCTTCGTCATATTTCACCACATGTGGTGGTCCACGTGGACAATGAAGGGCTCGCGGGATTCGGCCCATCTCCTTTCCGGCAGATGGTGATGGAAGGGCTGGATTTTTACTCGACACTGATGGACTCCCTAGAAGCAGCGGCAAATGTCCGCGGTGGTAGCGGAGACTGGTTGAAGAAGATCGAGACTTATGTGCTATATCCGAGAATAATAGAAATGGTAGGGGCGGCGGCAGGCCGTCGTGGGGCGCCGTGGAGAGAGGCTTTTCTAGCGGCGGGTTTCAGGCCGGTTGTTTTCAGCCAGTTTGCGGACTTTCAAGCTAACTGCTTACTTGGAAGGGTAGAGGCAAGAGGGTTCCAGGTGGCGAAAAGGCAGGCGGAAATGCTGCTTTGCTGGCATGACAGGGCTTTCGTCGCCACGTCAGCGTGGCGGTGAATAAATCGACTGGTCGTATATAGATTAGGAGAGGAGGGACGCAGCCTACAACAATAAGGATCCGAATTGATCGATATGGTATTAATTTTTCTAAATCAATCTCGGCCGTTCATGTAGTTATTCCAAACTTCCACCGTCCTTAATTGGGTAAACTTTTTTTATTTGGTTACTACAAAATTTTGACAGCTTCTTCTTAAAATAATAAGTACTACCTTCGTTCTGTGTTAATCGCAACATGTTGAATTTTACACTATTCACATGCTCTACTTTGACTATTTTTTACGCTATTATTTTATGAAAAATATTTATTTAAAAAATATTGTTAAATTCATCTCATTACAAATTTTCAAAATCTGATTTTTAATATTTTTTACTAATAGAATTAAGATATAATTACGGTCAAAGATGTGTGTTGGCAAATGTGAAATGTTGGTCGTTGTAACTAAAAAAGAACGGAGTGAGTATATGGTTAATGTTGTTGTTTTTATTTACATTAATCATTTGATTTTAGTTTATGATTTTAAGTGTCAATCAAACTCATGAGAAAGGGAGGAAGAACAAATGATCTGTTTTTTTATTATCATCTACGGAGTATTTGTCTTAAGTATGCAAGGGCTTTCTATTTTGTCATTGTAGTGTCTTTCTCAATTGTAAGTAATGTGTAGTTCGTACTTCATCTCAATCTTCTAGTTTACTTTCAATTTTTCTTATATAGTTATGAAACATTGACACTGGTTCACGAATAGATGAAGTATTTATACTCCATGATAGAGATTGTTTTTAGGATCCTTTTAATTAGAGTGGTTTCTGTCTTTCAGACTCAAATCAAATCGGATCCTACACGGCTACAACAGATTATCCAAACAGATCAAATTTAAACGGATCAAATCAAATAAGATCAGAACAGTTCAGTGTAGATCGTACCGAACTTGACAAGACCTCAATAATTATACATATTAAATCAGACTATATCACTTCATCAGACTAGACCAGTCCAGTTCAGAAAATTACAATTCAATTAAAAATCAAGTCGGTTATACATAAAACTTTATCCTAGTAACAATCAGACGATATCACTTCATGATTTGACTTGGATCGTAGTTAAAGAAAGTGAAAATAAAATATAAATGTGTAGTTATGGTTGAGTAAAAAAAAGACAAATGAATGTTAATCACAGAAAACTTTCCCAAATAGGAAATGAGAAAAAAATTGGGACATCCCAAAAATATAAATAAGGAAAATTTTATGAGACGGATGGAGTATAATAGATAGTACGTATTAGATTACATAAGATCAGAGGAAGATTCTTTCACCAGAAAAGATCATTTTCTACTATCACGCGAAGCTTAATTCTCAAGAGAAATGAGAACTAATTTTATCTAGAATTGGACTTTCACTATGCAATTAAAATATGTGTGTGATAGTTTGTGATTTTTTATTTTCTTTAATTGTTAGGAGAGCATACGATTTCCTCATTAATAAGGGGAAGTATAATACGGAGTATATGACTATCAAACGTCATCATATCTATATATAAGTAATAGTTAAATTACAAACTAGGGAAGAAAAGTAGCTTAAACATATACCATACACGCAAAATATAATTAGTTTAATCAAGAATTAAAAGTTGTTTAATCATGTGTAAGGAATCATCATTCATCACTTCTTTTAGTCATAATCTTAAATCTAAATGAACAACTGAATAGCTTTACACTACAAAAATATTCGTCTGTAGTCACGGATTTTGTCCGTGACTAGGTCCGAGTCTAATTCCGCGTGACTAAAATATAGTCACTGAACATTGACCGTGACTAACTGTAGTCACGGATTAGTCACGGACGAGGTCCATGACAATTCTTGACCAGAATTGCTACTCCGGCACGTTAGTCACGGACACAGTCCGTGACGCGTGTCCGTGACTACGTGTATTTTTTTTAATTCGGGCATATTAGTCACGGACCGATCCGTGACTAAGTTTTAAAATTTTCAAATTTTCAAAAGCCCGCGCAGTTTAAATTTTAAAAATTTGTATTAGTCACGGACATGCATCCATGACTATTATTTTTTCTTTATTTTTTTAAATATTTTGAATTTATTCAGGGAGACTGTATTCAGCTTTTATGTTCATAAACTCTGTAACGACGGATAGCTGAGAGTATCCCCCACAATCAGTATACAGGGGTTGATTTGATGCTTTTAAAACATCTTGAAATCTTTCAGCTATCCACATAAGGTTGATAAAATATCAGATTTTCATCCTTATGTGGTTGATACGAGGTCGAGGCTTCAGGGGGATCGTTAGATGGTTGTTGAGGGTTGAACTGAGACATCGATACACCGTATGCGTCATATACCATACGTTGCTCCCATCTCATTTCACCAAGGTCTCCCCACGCACTCATCTCTGCAGGGACGTTACGAGACGAACCTACCGTTTGTGGTAAAACAGATGAATCCAAAGGTTCGCCATGAGAAGTCCAATTATAATAATCGGGAACGAAAACGTTCGCGTACAAATCCCACCCAACTTCGTCTGGGTGTTCAAATTTGAGATTTTTACACTTTGAACATGGACATCTGATTTTATCACCACTCATATAAGCCGGGTGTTCAAGTGCGAATTTAATAAACTCGTCAACTCCTTCAAGAAAATTTGATTGCATTCCGTACAATACCGCATGTTTATCATACATCCAAATTTTATTTTGTCTATACATTATGGCTGAATATTATAATAAAAAAATTATACAGGTTAAAATCTCTAAATTATAAACATTACAAACATATGTGGAATATTATTAATATATTAAATTTCACTAATTAAAGTTCAATGCAATTAATTCACTAGATGAACTAATGTGTTCATATTATGATTTCAATGCAATCATTTCAATTATTAACTAATAATCAATATTATGATTTCAAAACTAAATACACTAAATTATTACATTAATGACATTAATTAATTCATAAACATTAACAATAATTTTTTGTGTACGAACATTTATATATTAAATTTCACTAAAATTCTCTTAAAATTAACTAACGTCCAATAATTAATATTATTAAACTATAAACATGCACAATACGTTAATGGCATTTAATCCACAATACTAAAATTACAACATCTTAATCTTTTTAATAATGCACATTTAACAATTCAGTAAATTAATAATATGAGGAAATCCAATAATTTGAGCATATATATATAATAAACTAATTTAAATTAAATAATACTTAAATTTAACTAATATTATTAAAAAAATACTAATTTATGTAATTCACAATCATAAATCATCATACTTAAGTAATGTTTCAATTAACTAACCCTAATTTAAATCATTATAAATCCTAAATTAGGCCTTAACAATAATTGCTAATAAAGAAATCATATAATTATATTTAACCATATGTAAACTCATTTGAATTAAATAATACTTGCGTTTAACTAATATCATCTATAATTTAACTAATTTACGTAATTTTAATTAAATACAACTTAATTAACCCTATGTTTAAATTACACCTACGTTTAACTAACATTAAGGAATTTATTTCGTTAATTAATTAACAACCTTTTTTTAAATGCATTTAATTTAAATTTAACTAATAATGTTAACAAAAGTTTAACTAATTTAGCTAATTAATTAATTTAACTTAATGCGAGTACGATTAGACCTACATTTAAGTAACTAATTTTTCACTAAATTAAATGAAATTGATATATATATATATAATTCGTTACTTAATTAATAATCTCTCTAATTTATTACACTTAAAATGAACCAACTAATTCATAACTAATTCATACAAAAAATACGTAATTCAAATTACATACCTTATGTGTGTGTGGGCGCGCGCGTGTGTGAGTGTGTGTGTAGTTAAGTCATGCAAATTTATCAAATTTATTTCATTCCTAATGTAATAGTCAAGTAAACATGTGCTAACTTTAAAATTCAATGAAGGATATAAGTAGTCCTTAGCAACAAAATGGCAGGAAAAAAATAAGGGAATTATATTGTATTTGGTAATAGCGAATTTATGTGAAATGTTAATGTTATGTTAGTTTTAGTATTAAAAAATGCAAGAGATTATGCTAAGTATACAAACAACCATTGGATAAGACATTTTATCAAACAATTTATAAGACAATTTGAACAGTACATATAATCGCAGGTGGGATATGAAGGACAAACAGAGGCAGTTATAGTGAATACAGAGTACTCTTTATGTGCGTAAATACTCCCCCATCAATTACAGAACTATTTTTTAGATACGGAGTCATTGATTAGAGATGAAGTAATCTCTCGAAAATGAAATAGTAGGATTTGTGATACCATGTAAGCTTCAATTGCAGTAGTAATACAGAAGATATTAAAATGAGTAATTTGAGGAAAGGAACGGCAACAGATCAAAGGAAGAAGAGAGTTACCTGGCCATGCCGTCGACTTTGATATGTTAGAACTGCACTGGAATTCATTTGCATTTGAATAACACTACAGTTTGAGGGAATAGACGCGAAGAAGCCAATTATTGTTGTACTCCGTATTAACTTGTGAACAAGGTCGTTGTAGGAAATCAGACGGAAAAAGAACGACTTTGGACAGAAAAAGGACGATGATAACGATACTTGCGGCTTATTATATAAGCAAAGATAAATATGTTTGAATATGAAACGACTTAAAATCTAGTAATAATAACAATAACTATAGCCATACACAATAATACATTCAGTGAAACACCAACTACTTCAATGATGTTCAACCATCAAATCCCTAAGATGGAAAAACAAAAGTAAACCTCCAAGAGATTGAATAGTGTTTACTACTTAGTGTGCATAAGATGTAATGTGGGAAGGTACGGGTGGACTCGGTGCATCTCCGGTCTGGATCAGAACCAGATCCAGAACCAGTTAATGGCAGTTCATTTCAGGCCACTTTATGAAAACCTTAACCGGAACCAGTTAATAGCAGTTTGTTTCTGGACCACTCATAACTGTCAGTTCGGGATTCAATTCCTATCAGTTCCGGACCAGATTTTGAAGTCCATTTTTTGAAGAAAAAAACAGAGCCAGAACCAGCAAGTCCGTGTCTATTTTGGAGAAACAACCGGACCAGAAATAGGATGGATCGGTTTGTGAACCACTTGCCAATGTGGTTTGCAGTTAAAAATTGGATGGTCTCAGTCAGGTTATGGTTCGGGACCATGGGAGTCACCCAGGTGGTCGCATACAACCTCCTGGAAGGAGGAATCTGAACTTATCTGCATTTTCTATCAAATATGCAGGAAGGTTAACTGCAGATGATGAAGGAGGGACAGATCCCATCTTCTTGATCAATTCTTTGAAGCTATACTCCTCTGGCAACATGTCATAAAGATCAGCGCCCTCACAAATGAGCTTTTGTATCCTGGTATAGTCAAGATACTCTTTACGTTTCACTCTGTCAGCATGACTATAAGCAGTCATTTTGAAAGCAAAATCATTGAGATAGCGGAAACAAAAGCTACAATGCCACCCAGCATCAGAGAGGATACGAGCGGTTTGGCGCGAATGACGATACTGAGTCCACGGGCTGAATATGTGGACACTGGCCCGCCAGCTGCTGTAGTCAACAGGGAACTCAAAAGAGTATAAGTAGTGCCGGAGTTCGAGATGCAGAACAGGCGGGACCCCTTCACACCACTGAAGCAGTTTGACAGTGTGGTGGCTTGGGATTTCATCTGTATCTGACATAATGACAAGGTCACCGTTCGAAATACCCGCACTGCGGAGTAACCGATTCATAGCCACACGCTGCTCCGACTCAAGCTTAAATGGATCCTCATTTTGTGACCGGCGGGGCTTAACATGCCCGGGGAATACACCGTGAACAACCCTTTCTGCAGCGAAGGCAAACCGATGCTGGTTTTCGGAAAAAATTAAAGGCTTAGGGATCCCAGTGAATGTTGTTTTTGCTTCTAAGATCACAAATTTAGTCACGTATGGGTGCAGTTCTTTCCACCTAATCTCGAGCAAGTCCAGCTCATTGCTAAATATGATAGCATCGAAAACACGCCTCGGTTCAGAACGTGCAGTCCACCCATGTAGGTGACAGAGGTGCTCCATGGACACATTCTCTGCATAATAGTGAGGTAAGCGCTCAAATGGAGGGGGTGGGTTGTCCCATAGAGGGCGGAAAAAGTATGAGATCCTCTGGGCATGGGAGAAGATTCCAATGACACAAGCTGTGAAGAGTATAAAGAATACCCCTGTAAATACATATTTCCGAGGGGATCGTCTTGGTGTGACGCTGAAAGGTCTTGGGGCCATGCTGCTGTATCAAAAGTCCTCCAACTAACATAATGCCATCCTTACTTCAATTCCGACATGAACATTTTTTTCCTTGTGAATTAGCAAGCTGAAAAGAAAGTAAACAAGATGATAAATTTTAAGTGAAGATAGATTCCCAAAAGACAGAAAAGTGATATATAAACCAAAGAGGTTGTTTCTAATACAGATACTGGTTGGAACTCTTCTATTTGAGCTCAGAAACACTATTTAAATGTTTAGTCCAGCCATCATACTAAGGTGAGGGTTTAAAGAAAGAACGATTGATTCAATCTTACAAAGGTTTGGTGATGTGCCTTTTGAAACCGTTGAGTAACCCTAAATCTAATCCTGAACAATCATGAGTAGTTCTTAGTTTCCGTCTTATTTCTATGAAATCATAAGGGTTTAGATTCAATTGATCAACTACTCACAAGAAAGATATGTGGCGTAATTGACATTTTGACTATCTTCTATAGTTTTTGGTTGGACATTTGAAATACTCAAAGTCGACAGAGGCAGTGTTTAATCTTTTACAAGTACACACATGGGAAATAGAGACCATAAACTTTTTGTTGATTGGGTGCATATAAGGGAACCAGGGAGTAGGGATATAGTACATTTCAGACTCACAAATGCGACTGTGTATACTCGCATAACTTTTCTATGTTATGGGCACCACGTGAGTCATCCCAATAAAGATACTGGTTATTTTGTTACGCCTCTTAAAAAGCGCTATCACAATGTTCAAGGACATCCAATGCTAGTTCTTCAACCTGCTCTATATCAAGGAGTTAGCTCCACTCAGCTTATGCTAGTTGGGTATCAACAGAGCTATACAAAAAATGTAGATGTAGAGATTACTCATCTGAAGTATAAAATCAAAACGTAATCGTTGATTCTGTAAAACTTTATGAAGATGAACGGGATAAAAATCTAAAACATGAACATAGAGAATTAGAGATATAAATCGAAGTCAGTAAGAATCGTAGTAGATGTAGAGATTACTCATCTGAAGTGTAAAGATTGTATTCTTAGCGTCAAAACCGGATAAACTGAACTCAATTTCAGGCTGATTCTTGGTACCAGAAATTCCAGATTTATAGTGCTACTCAGGGCCGGCCCAGGGCAAGTGCAAGCAGTGCAACCGCACAGGGCCCGTAAATTCTAAGGGCCCAAAATTTTAAAAGTCTTCCTATTATTACTTATGAAGTAATAGTGCCCAAAAGGTAAGCCCAATGATTCCCTAAACCTTATGTAGCCGAGAGGTTTCGAACCCGGGTGGGTTGCTTACACATACGGGTGGTGAACCAGCTCAACCGTTGGGTTGATGTTAAAACACTTTCAATTAACGTTTTTATATCATAATTTTGAATGATAAAACACTGTCTTATTTCTTATACTATGTATTTTGTAATCCTTATATTATTCTTTTTTTGGGTTTTAATCCTGAGTTTGAATGATTTAGTGAGTAGATAATTATATTTGGATGGTTTGTAATAATTGAACTCAGCAAATCACCAATTTTGATTATTAGGTTATGAGTCTGTTAGTTTATAATTCCGTTTAACAAATAAATGAAGTGTATTTTGTTGAGGAACACTTTTGTTTCAACTATTTTTTTAAAAAGTTGATACTTTTTATTTTTGCACAGGGCCCGTGTTTTCTCAGGACCGGCCCTGGTGCTACTGTGAGTATAAATGATTGTTTAGGCTGATTCGTATGTTGGAATAGATAGAAGAGTTCGATTTTGAGGTTATTGAATGCTTGCAAAGCTGCTAGTTTGGAGATGGAAGTGAGTTTTGGAGTGAAGGCAGAAAGAATGTACTGGCTGACTAAACGATAAGTAATTACGGAGGAATTTACCCAAATACCCTAAAGCTTAGGCAGGAGACTCACTTAGTTGAGTTAATAATACGGAGTATATAGATTTGGCCAGAAAACATTACACAAAATCCTAGAAACTACAACCTAAAAACCGAATATCAATTCATTATTCATCCATTACATTGCCATTAACAATTAACATCTTATATACTCCATAATACTTTAATCTAAGAAATAATAATAGAAAGTAGAAACACATTGCAAAACACATATTCAATTCTAAACAACATATTGCAATTTGGAAACACATACCATAATATCAAGAAATAATACATAGAAACTCATATTCTACTTTGTGAAACACGTGTTCTATTAATAAACAACTCAAATCACGAGACAATTACAATTAATAAAACTATTTCATAAATTAGGGTTAGAAAGTATAACCTTAAAATTGTAGAGAAAATTGGGGATGGCAGATTGCACGTCGGCCGCCAGCGTGGGCGTGTGGCAGCGTCCTTTTCTTTCGCTTTGTGTTCGGCCTGATCAGTTCGTGCGTGATGTGACTCTGTGTTTAATCTGAGTTTGTCGAGCACCGAGCGAAACTGCGAAGAACAGCCTTTCTTATAATCTATTCCTCCCTTTTCTTTTAATTATATTCCATAAATGAAAGCTCTATAAATCAACTAAGCACCAGCTTACTACTTTTAAGTCAAAATTGAACCGTGGTTATTTTAATAATCTAATCCCCTGAAAAATTATTGCCCTCAATTAATGAATAAAAATTAGCTCAGGAAAAGGCTTTAATATGACCTAGAAAGAACAACCAATGATTATAATTCTTCATTTAATACTCACAAAAGCAAATTAAAACAGAATTCGATCCAGGCATCCAGCCAAAACAAAAGAAACGTCAAGGGAAATAAATAATTAATAAAATGTTGATACCTCCCATCTGACTTGCAGAAGCTTTGATTATGAACCAAAGTTTAACCCCTGGCACAACGGTATAAGACATTAACTCATATAAGCGTCTTACGAAAACTTACATGTAAATCTCAACGGGTATTGTTGCCTATGAAAAAGCCAAAATCCACAGAGAAGAGGGGAGGGAGAAGAAGGGAGAGAGAAGTGGTAGGCCGCTCACCGCATCTCCAATGTTATATTTAGGCTCTTTATTCAGCTGGGTGATGATGAGTTGTTAAATGTCAACACTTTCAATCCAATTGTTTCACTCTTTTATAGTTTTATGTTTACTGGATTTCGTGTGTTGCACCCGACAAAGATGGTAATCATTATCTCTAGGGCAAATAAGGAGACGTATTAACAAAAAAATGTCAAATAAGACCTTATATAGGAGGTTATATTCAGCCTTCATCATTAATTAAGTCTAATTTACTCATATCAAATTTCAGTTAAAACTTCAATCGAGAAGACATTCAAATGAATTTTTGAAGATAACTGCACAAGTAAAAGCGCAGTTATCTTCAAGAATTTATTTGAATGTCTTTCCAATTGAATTGTTAGCTGAAATTTGATACGAGTAAACTAGACTTAATGAATAAGCTTCTCAAAAAACTTCATCAAAAAATTCCACCGGAAACTGCCCCAAATAGCGACGGCCGGACAGAGGCCCCTATATAAGGGCTTATTTGACATTTTTTTGGTTAGTACGTGGGCTTATTTGCCCCTTTTCCCTTATTTGAAAAATAAACAAGGGGTTTGACCTAGGGGTGGGTATATCGGTTTTCGGTTCGGTTTTTATAGATTTTGGTTCGATTCGTTTTGGAATGAGTTGGGAGATATATAACCAAATAAAATTCATACTATTTTTCGATTTGGTTTAATTTGGTTCGGTTTTGATTTTTTATTTTTTAATAATATATGAATGTTTTCATTTTCATTTACCCCAGTGCCGCAAAGGCTCTCCCACCTACGGTGAGGTAAGGGGGGGTCGGATGTACGCAGTCTTACCCCTGTACTAAAGCACAGAGAGATTGTTTCCGGATGACCCACAGTGAAAATCGCGTCCAAAATTGCATGGACTGACTGCTGCTCCATAAAAAAGAAGCGCAGACAGTTTAGTGAGCCATTTTGCTTTATTCCATCATAATCTCAAGCCAAAAAAATATATGAATGTTTTATAGAATTTCTTTAGTTCGGCTCGGTTTTGTTCGGTTTTTATCGATTTCGGTTCGGTTTAATACGATTTGGAAGAAATACTACCAAACTCAAACCAAATTATATATGGTCCGGTTTCGATTCGATTTGGTATGGTTCAGTTCGATTAAACCAAACCAGTATGCACATCCCTAGTTTGCCCTAAACATTACTTGAGTACAAAATATTGACTATGATTTAAAAAATGATCCTTTTTAATTTTAAAAAATGTTATTAAAAATGTCTTATATTTGAAAACTATAATGTTGATGTTAGATTTTCATGTTACTGTCAGAATCTAATACTAGTATCTTTTATGGATGTCACTGTCACCACATAACATGTCACTGTGATCGCAGGTAAAACTTCTGGTGACTTTTTCCGGTGAAACTATCATACATCCAGATGTGGACACCTAGTTTTCAACTGCCCCAACCCCCCTTCCCAACCCCGCTAACAAGACCACACCCAGTCCCTGCAACAGTCGCATCCCCCCACCACCACCACACTCCGGCCAGGTCCCTGCACTCGTCCCCTTTCCCATCCACAGTAACACCCCAGCTCCGCGGGATTCGGGGTAGTTACTCCAAAATGCCATCTAGACTTCTAGTAATGTTCTCACAAACCAATCTGAGCCTTTTACTGCGCACTTTGTCCTCACTCGTGCGCGTTCTGGGAGACGAGCAAGCACGCTTAACTAGGAGTTCTTAAGAAATGAGCTCCTTAAAAGGAGATTCAACTTGGTTGTATGAGTACTACTATTAATCCCTTTAAATTAATCTCAAGTGTTACATCAATTGCCAGTAATTTGCAGCCCCCATCACCAGCCCAATGTCACCCCTCGTCCCCCACCTGTTGCCTTCATCATCAGTCGCACCTTGGCCTAACATATTCGTCGTCATTGAGTCGCCCCTCAAACCATAATCTCCGATGTGCTCGTAAGTGGCCATCATAGTCGATCAACATCCGGCCTTGTCCAACGCAACAGGCCTATTGTCTTCTGCAGAATTCGTAGTCGCTTGCCATAGCCAGAAGGAACTGACAGGGAAGATGACTTACTGGGGTGGAGTCGCGGGATGCGGCAGGCTACGGAGGACGTGCGTCAGCTTTGGTTGTTGTCCGACGAGCAATTCACAGGCAAGAGGGCCGAATGAAGCGACGAAATATGTTCGACAATGAAGGGGGACGATAAAGGTCTGACTCACTTTTTGTGGAAAATATCAAAAAAGTTATATTTTTGAAATTTAATACTCCGTACATTATTGGAGGGTGTATTGTATATGGATTGTGGTCAACAAAATTAATCCATGAGTTTAAAAAATCCATAGACTTTTAAATACACGGACTTTTATGAACAAATTGTGTTGATTTGCATCAATCCATGGATAAATCATATAGAGCCCGTTTGGTAAAACTAAAAGTGCCTGAAATGGCTGATTCTACTGAAATTTATGAAATTCTAGCTGAAGTGGCTGTATTGGCTGATTCTGCTGATTCATGAAAAAAGTATATTTGAAATATTTGTTATTAATAAATTAAATAAAAAATTATATGAAAAAATAGCTAAAATAATCATCTACAGTAACTTAAGCCAATACAGCCAAAAAGGTAACTACAACCTTACTTTTTCTGCTTGTTACAAAATTCAGCGTGCGAAATCAAAAGTTACGTGTTTGGTGAAAAAGTTGTCTGATAAGCCAAAAAAAGGATCACCAAACGGGCTCATACTTCTAAAGTAGATTTTTAAATCCGGACCGCCACTTTCGGCAACCGGTATTTCCTCCAGATCGTCGTCGCCTATTTACCAAAATCTTCCTGCCGTCACCGGAGTTCGTTGTTGCCACCAACGGACTAACCTTGGTTATGCAAGGGAACTATAGGAAAATTAATTAAAGAGATAATTACTCATATATGACTAAAACATACACATAATGCACAAATAGGAGTCCAACTTCTAGTGAGGTTCAATGGGAGTAAAAAAGAGTTGGTCTGACCTAAATACCCTTAATAAAATCTCAAACTCATTTATTTATTAATAATTTAATTCAAAATACTAAACACAAACAAACAGTACAGTAGACTGCAGACAACCATGCAACCCTAGATCCGATGACCGCCTTCACTGCCACCGTTGCCGCCGGCCCCGTCATCCGCCGCTGCCAGAGGCTCTACCACCTGTCACCACTACCCATGTCATCTTCGGCGATGACTCTTCCACCGTCGGTCGCCACCTCTGCCACCACCATTGTCACCTCCGTCAGACGTCGCTGGCAGAAGCTGACGCCACCAAGCGCTGCCGCTCCAAGACACCACCATCGTCAATCGTCGTCGCCGCCTTGTCTGCCGCCGTCTCTGCCGGATCTGTGTCACTACCACCTTTGCCTCTTCTGAGACCACCACCTTTGACTCCATCCAAAATATGTAAATGTAATCTGGCAATTTGAATGCCATTTGTATAAAACAGAGGCTATGAGTTTTATTGCCATAGTCATAATGGAAGTATGTGCAGATATAACATTTTCCTGTATGAAAAACATGGCATTAGTAACATTGCAATTGCCATTTTGATTTCATAAAAATGGCATTATGTGCCCAAATAAAATTTGTACATGGAAAAACATGGGATTATTAATATTGTAATTGTCATCTTGGTTTCATAATAATGGTTCATAAATCAATTATTTTTTATGAAAAAATATGACATTATTAGTATTTTTATTGCCTTCTTGATTTCATAAACATGACATTATAGGCCGAAATAATGTCTGTACATAACAAAATATGGCATTATTCAAAGAAGTAGTCTTAAAATTTCAAAAAACAAATTCCGAAAGAAAAGTTGAAAGTGAAAAAATAGAAGAAAGCAAGACCCCCCAGATTGCAACAGATCTCAGAGGAGAAAAAAGAAATTGAACAAAAAACAAATATAAATGCAAAAGTTCCGCCGCCAAGCTAAAGAAAAGAGGGGAGGGAAAAAATGGGGAAGAAGAAGACGATGGGGGAAAAGAAGAAGAAGAAGACGGTACAAGCTTACCTGGGATGATCGGTGCTAGTTGCCGGAGGTGAGTTGGTGAGAAGAATTCACTATCAAATCTGACGGAGATGGAGAATTGAACATGGGCTATGTCTCCAAATGCTTGAGCAAGGAGATGAATGCACGAAGAAAATGTTTAAAACATGGGAGAGGAGTGTGTGTGGGGGGGAGGAATGGGAACTACAAAACGGAACGAAAATAAAAGGGTATAACTGGAACAAACAATTAATAGCTCTTATTCAGGGAATAAATCAATAGGAACTCCTATTTTGGAATTTTCTGTTTATTTTAATCCTATTTAGGGTAATAACTTTTAATGAAATTAGGGTTAGTAATGTAATGTTTGATTAGTTCTATTTAACAATGAAACATGGTCATGGTTGAACATTTTTTATTTCTTAACGATTAACCGATGATCGTTAATATACCAGAATTCTACCAATATGATACTATTGATTCTTACATCGCTTCTTTAAAAATAATTTAGAACCGAATTAATATTGGATTAATGGTCCTTCAAATGGTTCCAAATTTTCTTTCAAGAACTGAGCCGATCTCACCCCTACGTTTTTCTTCATAAGCTGATATATATAAAAAACACCTTTTAATTTCATTTATGTTTATCTTGTGTATCAATGTTGATGTAGAATCTCCTCGTTCAATTTTATTTAGAGAATATTACCCGAAATAGGACTAAAAAGGTTTGAAAATTCTAAAATAGGACTACCATGTTTTTATTCCAAAAATATGACTAATTACTGCCCTGTTTCGGCAGTACCAGACTTCAAACATGTCAGTATTTTCTAAATTTGACAGTAATTACTCCTATTTTGGGAATAAAAAACATGACGGTCCTATTTTAGAATTTTCAAACTGTTTTAGTCATTTTTCAGGAACTTTCCCTTTTATTTATCATAAAATGATAAAAGATACAGAATTTAATTTTCTAACCTTGCATAGCGAGACCATCCTGCCATCCCGGTACCCACCTTCCGACCCGATACTAGTCTATGAGCAGTTAGCCAGTTTGTAATCATGTGTAAGCAATTAGTCAAAACTAGTCTGGTTCTGGAACCGAA